AGCTCTTCCAAAACATCTCTGAGCCCCTCAGTGACTCCCCAGCAGAACATCTGCCCCCTTTAAAGCTCGTTGAGCTGCAGCAGCAGCTGAGAACCCCTGCAGATTTCTGTCATCAGTAGAAACTACTCAAGGATCCCAGGCTGGGACATGTCTGGACAAGAGCAGGAGAATTTGCACAACAGTCTGGGCTGAGAGAGGAGCTGGGGACAAACAGGGAGCAGCAGGAGGCATGGGAAAGGTGGCATGATGTGACATGATGTGACATGATGTGACATGATGTGACATGACTGACAGCTGAGCAGGACCATCCCTGACTGCCCTGATCAGGATCCCTTCCCAGGAAAGGTGAGACCATGGTGGTTCCCCAGGGTCCCCATTCCCTGAGTGCAGCCAGGGATGACTGGAGAACATCCCAGGGTATCCCAGGGTATCCCAGTGTACCCCAGAGCATCCCAGTACATCCCATTGCATCCCAGTGCATCCCAGTGCATCCCAGAGCATCCCAGTGTATCCCATTGCATCCCAGTGTACCCCAGAGCATCCCAGTACATCCCATTGCATCCCAGAGCATCCCAGTGTACCCCAGTGTACCCCAGTGTATCCCAGTGCATCCCAGAGCATCCCAGAGCACTCCAGTGTATGCCAGAGCATCCCAGTGTACCCCAGTGCATCCCAGTACATCCCAGTGCATCCCAGAGCATCCCAGTGTACTCCAGAGCACTACGGTGTATGCCAGAGCATCCCAGAGCATCCCAATGTATCCCAGTGTACCCCAGAGCATCCCAGTACATCCCATTGCATCCCAGTGCATCCCAGTGTATCCCAGTGCATGCAAGAGCATCCCGGTGCATCCCAGAACACTCCAGTGTATGCCAGAGCATCCCAGAGCATACCAGTACATCCCAGAGCATCCCAGTGTATCCCAGTGTATCCCAGTGCATCCCAGAGCACTCCAGTGTATGCCAGAGCATCCCAGAGCATACCAGTACATCCCAGTACATCCCAGTGCATCCCAGTGTATCCCAGTACATCCCAGAGCATCCCAGTACATCCCAGTGCATCCCAGTGCCCCATTCCATCCAAGAGCCTCCCAGTGAATCCCATTGCATCTCAGAGCATCCCAGTGCATCCCAGTGGGTTTCTCCTGGCAGCTCCAGAGAGAGTTTCATTTTGGAAAGGTGAGGCAGGAGGCACCAAGCCAGGCAGGTTTGCTTGGGCCTGGAAATCCCTTTATGGTGCAGGGAGGTCCTGAGGTCCTGCTTTGAGCATTAAATGGTGACTGTCCCATGTATGTGACAGTTCAGGATCACTCTTTGCCCTTTAATTTTTATGGACCCAGTATGGGTATGTAAAAATACCCATAAATATGGGTACCAAAATACCCATATGTAAAAATTCCGAAATACCAAAATACCTATATGTAAAAATTCCAAAATACCAAAATACCCATATGTAAAAATTCTGAAATACCAAAATACCCATATGTAAAAATTCCAAAATACCAAAATACCCATATGTAAAAATCCCCCCAGCCCAGTTTGGAGGGAAAAAAAAGATGGGAGTGAATCTCTCCCAGTGCTCCTCTCTTTTTTCTCCCCCCACCCAATAAATCCAATGTTAGGGAATGTTCTTTTTCTTTCTTTTCCTGAGTCCCCTCCTGGCAGGTACCAGGCTCCTCTCTGCCAGGCACACTTGTCTGCACAGGAAAAAAGAAATTTCTCCTTCCTCTCTTGGGATCTTTAAGAGCAAATTCTCAGCTCTGCCTCAGTGCCAAGGGCAGAGCATCAGCCGGTTCCCAGCTCATCTCAAGAGGCTCCAGCTGCTCGTCCTCTTCCAGCCAAAGATTTGCAGGGCACTGCTGCAAGAAGGCTGAGGCCAATAAAAGCTCTTACAAGCTGTTGTAACTCAGAGCTGGCTCCCCTGGAAATCCTTGGCAAATAAAATGAAAATAAACTCCTGGTGTTCCCTGGAGATATCTGTGTCCGTCTGCTGGCAAGGCTCATGCCTTGAATACATTTTCAGCACTCACAATGAAGAGAAAATTAACGTTGACACTCATGGTCAAAATATTAGTATTGAGGTTTTTTTAGTATTTTGCCCTAGAATATGCAACTGGGACCTCAGAGGAGAAAAAAAAAAGGTAAAAAAAATCACTTGTCTACACAGCAGCTCAGAGAAATATGAGTTTTATTAGAGGATAAATGGAGCCACACCTACCCTGAAATGAGATCTGAGCTCTGCAAAAGCAGAGAGCAGTCCTTGTCCCCAAGGTTTTACAACCTAAATGAAAACAAACAGTGAATTAAGGAAGGAAACAGAGTCAGTCACTTGTCTAAGGTCTGACAGGAGCAGTGTGGTTTGGCTGGGATTGGAGCACAGAGCCTTTGGTGCTTTACAGAGCTGGGTGAGAAGCTGGGCAGGAACCAGCCCAGAAAGGCCCCTGAGCCCTGGGCTGAGCCCAGCGTGGGCAGCAGGGCAGGGGGGATTGTGCCCTGTGCCCTGTGCTCAGGTGAGACCCCACCTGCAGAGCTGCCCCAGCCCTGGCCCAGCACAGGCAGGAGCTGGAGCTGCTGCAGAGACCCAGAGGAGGCACCAGGGGGATCAGGGGATGGAGCAGCTCTGCTGGGAGGAGAGGCTGGCACAGCTGGGATTGGTCACCTGCACAGGAGAAGCTTTGGGGCGACCTCAGTGTGGCCTTGCAGGGCCTGGAGGGGCCGACAGGGAAGATGGAGAGAGAATTTACAGGGGTCTGGAGTGCCAGGACACAGGGAATGGCTCCCAGTGCCAGAGGGCAGGGTTAGATGGGATATTGGGAATTAGGAATTGTTCCCTGGCAGGGTGGGCAGGCCCTGGCACAGGTGCCCAGAGCAGCTGGGGCTGCCCCTGGATCCCTGGCAGTGCCCAAGGCCAGGCTGGACAGGGCTGGGAGCACCTGGGACAGTGGGAGGTGTCCCTGCCATGGCAGGGGTAGAACTAAGGGACCTTTAAGATCCCTTCCAACCCAAACCATTCCAGGATTCTCTCTTATCTCTCTAATCCTCCTGCTTTTCATTATTTCTGGCTTACTCTTTCATACTTTCTGTTTCCCTGGTCTCTTCCCTCTCTGCTCTGCTGGCAAGGATCCTGCTCTTGCTGCTGGCAGCCTCAGCCTCGCTGACCAAACCACATGTTCTGCTCAGAGCATGACTTGGAGCTCTCCAGAACATCAAGAGCTGCACCCAACTATTGCAATAGGAAGATTTTTTGCTATATCATTCAAGTGAGAAGAGCTGGCTGAATTTTTATGAGGGAAAGGGATGTTACAGATAGCCTGGGACATGAGAAAACCGTTTTCTTTCTTTGATCTTATTTTTTTAAAGCCCAAATTTGATCTTATTTTTTTAAATCCCCAAAAGTTTTTTGTGGGGAGGAACCAAATCTCTCTCTCTAAAAAAAGTGTTGAAGTTTCCAGCCTGTTTCTCTACCCAGGGAAAAAGGAGAAGTCCCTGCACATCACTGTGTGTGCACATACACCTCAAAGAAAGTTTCTGTTTTCATGAGAACTTTCCTGGGGACAAAAAAAAAAAACCAAATTTCAACAGTCTGGGTAAGTCTAAATGGCAACATCTGCATGCCAAGCACTAACTAAATGAGAGATTTCCTTGGGGAGGGTGGGCTGCTGCAGAGTGACAGGGAGCAAGGAAGGAATTTAGGAATTTTCCTGGGATACAGAAACCCCTTCCAGCTGCACATCAGCTGCCAGCAGAGCTTGTTCCTCCCAGCTGTGCTGCTGATCAGTGATGCTGCTGTATCAGGGATGGATATAAAGACCCCAGTCTTTAGGTGGATCAGAAGGTAAAATATCATAATTCTTTATTAGCAAGAATTCAGTAAAGGAAATGTGGAATTACAGCAGAGCAAGAAGTTGTGAGTGTTATAGTCTCACTGGCTAAGCTGGGACCTGATTGGTCTCAAAGCAGAAACATCTCACATTATTAGTGATTATGAATAGCACGCTGTGGAGAACTATAACTACAAACAATGGTTACAGAAAGAGAAATAATAATTGTTTTAATTATTTTCTTCTAAAATTGCCAGGCTCAGCCTGAAAAAAAAAAAATTATCTCTGTTCTTTCTCCAACTGAATTAAGAATATCCACAGGTCAGCTCCAGAGGATCTCCACAGGCTGCAGCCCCTCTCTGTCAGGGATAGCAGCTGTCAGCCAAGTAACACTGACATCATTTTTCCCCCAAGTACAGTAGAATCACACTTGTGCAAGTAGCAGCAACAGCCTCCTGTGAGAGCACAACGTTTTGTTAAGGTTTTTAATTAAGATGGTTTGGGAGAAGATGAGCCCCAGAGCAGACAAACATCCGATTTTGTGCCTAAGCCCCGACGGTTCGGCGCAGAAGGTGCTCATTGAGCAACGGGAAGCCTCTTGTGAATTCTGCTAAAATGGGAGGGGATGAAGCAACACTTCAGAGAAGCGGACCCCTTCTCTGGGGTCACTTGCTTCCTGTCATCTCACCTTCCCCAAAAGCCTCTTCCCCTTTCTCTGGGAAAGAAGAAACTGCCGGGCTGCGCTCTCTCCCTGCCTCTCGCTCTCCCCCTGCTTCTCACTTTCACTCCCGTGGGTTTCACGTTCCCTTTGCCAGGCGGAAAACCTCGCGGAGCTCCAGCCCGTCACCACCAGCACCACCACCAGCACCACCAGCAGGAGGAGGAGGAGGAGGAGGAGGAGGGCTGATCCTGGTTCCACCCTGCGGGACTTTCCTGGCTTCCTCCAGCAGGGAGCGGGGGGAGCAGGAGCCTGGGAGGCAGGAGCGGGGCCGGGCGGCGGGGAGCGCTCCCCGGCTCCGGCCTGGTTTCTACTGTAGGCGGTGCATTCCTCGGGAGGGAGGGAGGGAGTGCGTGCGCCCGGTGCCTTCCCACACTCCGCACTGCTCTTATTTAATGGGGGTCTCCATGCAGGGCAGGCGCCACAGGAGGTTTGGCGGTGCCCGGCTCCCTCGCAGGAGCCATGGAGAGCGCGGTGGAGATGGGAGCGGAGGCTGCGGGCAGCGCGCTCGGAGCGGGGATGCGGCTGCGGCAGGACCTGCGCAGGATCCGCTGCGCGCTGCTGCTCTGCCTGCTGGCCGTGCTGCTGCTCATGCTGCCCACCGCCTACCTGCTGGTCGGGAACCTGAGAGCGCCCAGCTCCTGCGGCCAGGTAAGGCAGGGCTGTGAGAGCCGAGGGGAGGGATGCGGGACTCCAGGAGGCTCCTCAAAATGCAGTTTATTACATCCAGGGTTGTGAGTTACAGAGCTCCAGCAGCAGATAAGCCTGGAGACCCTTCGTTTAGGTTACAATGCATTCTATACTTTTGGTTACAAACGCATTCTATACTTTTCTTTTGGTTACAATGCATTCTATACTTTTCTTTTGGTTACAAACGCATTCTATACTTTTCTTTTGGTTACAATGCCTTATATACTTTTCTTTTGGTTACAATGCATTATATACTTTTCTTTTGGTTACAATGCATTATACACTTTTGGTTACAATGCATTCTATACTTTTCTTTTGGTTACAATGCATTATAGACTTTTCTTTTGGTTACAGTGCATTCTATACTTTTCTTTGCTGAGCATCTTAGTACACTAGAACCAATCTATACCTTAGCTTTTACCTATAGCCTATCATAACTACTGTAATTACCATATTCATGCTACTGTTCTCCAGTCACTCAAAGTTAGTACATTACAGTTTAAGCTAGGAGTTGTTATTCAGTTTTCTTGCAGTGGAAAATTCTGAGACCTTTTTTCTCTACTTGCAACTTTGCTGCCTTGTTTGCCTGTGCTCTCTTTCTGCTTGGTAAAAACATCTTCTTGTTTGGGGTGGGTTTATCCTTTGCTCTAAGTAATAAAAACCCCTTCTAACTAACACACCCTTTGCCTCCTTGATTATCTAGTAATTCTTTTCTTCTAGATCAAAACTTGCTTCCATCTCTATTCCTTCATCAGGCTCTACATTTAAAAATCTTTCTGCTAAGCACACATATCTGTGAGACTTTCTTGTCAAACTTTCATCCTTCCTGGGCACACCTGAGCACCGTCTGCACCTCCCAACGGAGCCTCCCTGGAGCGGTTTTAATGCTCATTGTGAATTTCTCGTGTCTGTGGAGCTTTTAATGCTCTTTGTGAATTTTTCCTGTCTGAGGGCTCATGTGAGACTCGCTGTTGCATTCCTTCTTCCTCACCCTGAGGATAAATCTCATTATTGCTCGTTCTTTTTTAACTAACGGTTCCTTACTCTCACTGAGGTCACAAGCAGAGTACATGGCTTTGAAACTTTTATTTCTGTGCTGCAGGGAATGTTTAAAAAATCACTGATTTCTGCCAGATTTTTGGTGCTATGGCTCATTTTCTTCCCTTCTTTGGGGTTAAATCTGGGACAGGACGCTGCGGTTTCCCTTGGCAGTGTCCGATTTCAGGAATGCATTGCTTTAAAACTTTTTGCTGTGTTGCACGGAATGCTTTAAAAAATCGCTGATTGGTGGAAATCATTGTCTCTGCACTGATTTCTGCCAGATTTTTGACACTATGGCTCATTTTCCTTCCTTCTTTTGGGTTAAATCTGTTACTTCCTTGGCAGTGTCTGATTTCAGGAGTACATGACTTTAAAACTTTTATTGCTGTGCCGCAGGGAATACTTTAAAAAAAAAATCACTGATTTCTGCCAGATTTTTTGATGCTATGGCTCATTCTCCCTTCTTTTGGGTTAAATCTGTGGCTTCCCCTCACAGTGTGTGATTTCAGGAAGATCTGCTGATGTCAGTGGGTCAGTCACCCATCACTGGGCTGACGGCTGCAGCTCTGGTGAATAATTAATTATTATTAATGCAAACTTCTGCAGAGATCTGATTTGAGGCAATTAAGGGAGTGTAGCCCTAAACTTCACATCCTGTTTTTAACTCCCTATTAAAACTTTCTCTCAGTCCAGGACTCCTCTCAGCTCCTCTCCTTTGGCAGACTTTGCTCCCAGCCATACAAACTTCTCTGCTGCTCCATCCCTCCTGCAATTCCCTATTCCCGGGAGGCTGTGAGCTCAGCAGGAATGCCCCGTGCTGTAAATTGGTGAATTAAGCTTTGAATTTTAGCTTCAGGTCTGAAATTCCACAGTTAACCAGCAGGGTCCCAGAAAGGGGGGTTGGCTTTGGGTGGCCTCGAGGGCAGGTTTGTCCCCTGTCCCCTGTTCAGCCCGGGGATGTTCAGGGAGGGGAAAGCTGCTGACGGCTCCTGGAGCTGTGCTGGCCCCACTGGGACCCCGAGGCTGCTCTGCCCGGGTGATGCTCAGGGTGCAGCATCCTCTTCCTCACTGGGTTCTAACCTGGTGCAGCCCCTCGGGCTGGTGAATCTGGCAATTCCTTGAGTGATGCTGCCCTGGCTGTATCACTGCTGTCGGCTCCAGGCTGCCCTGCCTGCAGGTGCCAGCACAGCTTTCTTCAGGGGCTGGGCACCATCTGAGAGGATTTGGGGGCCTTCAGTTCTGGAAATGTGGAATTACAGCAGAGCAGAGGCTGAACGTGGAGGAGCTTGAAAAGTTGGGTGCTGCTTGAGGTTGGGTTGGTAAAATTCACGAGGTGCTTTGGGCACTCTGCTGCTGCTCTGGGTTTGCTTGTGTCCCACCAGAGAAGAACAGTTCAGTCTTGAAACAATCTTGGAGCAGAAGAATAATCAAATGTTAACTTGTTTAATCAATCCAATGCGTTCCTGGGTTGTGACCCTATTGGCAGGGTTAGCAGAGTAAAGTTCTTTTATGAGTGGGTTTGGCTCCTGAAGAGGAAAAGCACATCGTAAACGATCGGAATTGCAACTCTGGAGTGCATTCCCCTGCACCTGCTCCCAATTAGCAACACGTAATGTTTCCACAATGATGTTATGAGGTGATAAAGGAGTTACAACCTCTGCAAGTCCCAGGGAGGAAGAGGAAAGTCATCGGGGCTGGCAGAGTGCCCGGGGTGCTGTGGGAGGAGCTGCACCTCTGCTGGGCCCTGCCACAGCCCGATCCTCATTCATTCTGCTGCTCTGTGTGCCCACCATCCCCTCTGCTGCTCTGTGTGCCCACCATTCACTCTGCTGCTCTGTGTGCTCATCATCCCCTCCACTGCTCTCTCTGCTGCTCTCTGTGCTCACCATTTCACTCTGCTGCTCTCTGTGATGCTCTCTGTGCTCATCATCCACTCTATCACTTCTGTGCTGCTCTCTGTGCTCACCACTCATTCTGCTGCTCTCTGGGCCCACCATCCACTCTATTGCTTCTGTGCTGCTCTCTGTGCCCTCCATTCCCTCTGCTGCTCTCTGGGGTCACCACTCACTCTGCTGCTCTCAGGGCTGCTCTCTGTGCCCACCATCCCCTCTGCTCTGTGCCCACCATCCCCTCTGCTCTCTGTGCTGTTTTCCAGCAGGACAGCACACAGGGTGGATGTCTCTGCCTGTGTGGCTGCCTCTGAATGCCCCAAGGAGCCAAACCCCCCAGGAGTCTGCAGGTTCAGAGAGGTTCAGGCCCTGGGAATATTTCTGGGTGTGAAAGCTCTCTGGAAAATGTCTTTTTGCGTTTCCTTCTGCATTCAAAGTTTCCTAAATGACTCTGTCCTCATGTGCCCCACTGACAGCTCAGGTCAGGACTTTTGGGACCAGCCATGTGTGGCAGAGCTCTGTGGGTCACTGGTTTGGGGTGTGGGTGCCCTGGGATGAGTGGGCAGCCCTGATGATGAGCATTGGCCTCCTGACCCTGGCAGCCCACGGGAGGAGTCCTGTGCTTGCCCCACGGAGCTCTGCCCACACACAATTGTCACCTTCCAGTGCTCTGGGAACAGCCCTGGGAGGAGGGAGGGACTCAGCAGGTGAGGAGCAGATGGAGTAAATTCCTGAGTCCTTCCTGGAGCCAGGAGGAGAAGGGAAGCCCGGGCAGGTTTGTGCAACAGGGGAGTGTCCCTGGGCATGCTGCCCACAGGGCGAGGCAGCTCGGTCATCCCTGCCTGGCCCTGGTGTCACCTGGTGCCTCTGAAGGGATGCAAACTCATCTCTTTCGCTGGAAATGTCCCTTTCAGGAAAAAGCAGGGCAGGTTATGTCATTACAGCAACATGTGTGGGCTACCAGTGTTCTCTGTGTGTCATGGTGCAATGCATGAATAATTCCAGGCTGGTGATGGTTTTTCCTGGACACCTTCCAGGCTCCTTCCATGCTCCTTTGGGAAAGAGAAACCACTTTCTTTTGTGTTTCAGTCCAGAGGGAGGAGAGGAAAAAGGGTTTTTCAAACCAGAGCACGTGGCTTGTGTTACTAGCAGGAAATCTATTTTAAGGCCACAGTGGTGCCCTGCTGGAGGAAGGGCAATCCTTCCTCAAAGGGAAGCCAAGTTTCGGGCTGAGTTCCCAAAACCATCGATGGAAAGGCACAGGAGAGCAGCTCTGGCTGCCTCAGCATCCCACTCAGCAGAGCAGCAGGTCCTGTGGCCTGGAGGAGTTGGTGTTGGGTTTATTTTTCATGGCATCCTTGGCACATCAGGGCCACGAGCAGCATAAAGAGGAATCCCAAGGGTTGGACATGCAGCTGTGTGCCAGGTATGTGCCCTGTTAGCTGGCACTGGAAAAGGGACCTGCTGCAGAGCAGGAGGAACTGGAAAATCCCAGAGGCTCCAGCTGGATCCTGCTGGAAAGCTGGCAGCAAACCCCAGGAGAGATCTGCCCTCATGGCCTGCCCATAAAGGAAGGAGAACCTCAAAAGCTTCCTGATCTTTGGGGAAGGAAAAATACCTGGGAAGGAGCAGCAAGCACACCTGGATGGGCCCAGGTGTTGGGATTCCCCCCCCAAAGGCAGCACCAGTTAAATCCCTGCCTGGCCACTGCTGCTGGTGCAGGTGTTCCTTGTGGGTGCGTGCCTTGGGTACAGCCTTCCCCTGGGCAGCAAAATGCTCTGATTGAAGCCAGTTTTTACTGGCACAGACCAGTTCCTGCCAAAAATTCCCAGCCCAGGCCATGCAGCATCTCTGGAGTTAGAAAAATGTGGGTTTATGTAGTGCACATGGCCTGCAGAGATGCTCCCTGTGAAACAGGGCTGGAGGTGGAGGAGCTGGGGGAATTCATTCTGCTCTCATCAGTCCCTCTGCCTGCAGAGCCAGCTGCTCCTGCCATGCCACTGGATATCAGCCCTCCTGTTTGGGTTTAGCAGGACCTGGGTACAAATGCACTGGGGGTTTTTGGAGCTCTGTGGTACCAGAAGTGTTCAGCAGCCAGCAATGCCCAGGGTCATTAGAGCTGCCTGTCCAAACATCTGTGAGTCATTCAAGGGGGGTTTTCAGCATCACTCAGTGGTTGGGCTCTCCAAAGAAACCAAAGGGAAAATTGAAGCTGTGAACTTTTCAGAACCACAGCTGAGCAAAAAAGGGAAAAGAGAGAAAAGCATTGATTGTGTGAATGTTCTCTGCATTGGCTCCTGCTGCTCAGCTCTCCCTCCCATCAATGCACAACATCTGTGCTTATTCAGGGCCTGTTTCTCACACCTGGTCATTATGCAGCATTTTCTGTTGCTAAAACATCATCTGTAGGTGATTTGTATTTATATTTACACCTTTATGAGATAGCACAATTAGGGAAAAAAAAAAGAACAGCCATACCTTTGCCAAGCAACAGAATCATTTCACACCTTTCTGTGTCCCCATGCTCTATCTGCTCTGTCCCTCAGCATCTCTGAATGCAGCTCCTGCACCTGGAGTTTCCAGCTGGATTTCTTAGGAAACAAGTAAATTTAGGTTTAAACAAAACCTTTTTGTTATCTTTTATAAAGAAGCAGAATTCTTCTTGCTCTCCTTCCCATTTTCCTGCCACCTCTGTTTGGATTGCAACATCCAAGTTTATACAAGGAACTTCAGCAGAAGTTAAGCTTCAAGTATGTAAACAGTTCCACAGAAGTTGCATTCTTAAATATAGGTTTGGGATTGATTTTTTCCCTGGCTGCAGAATTCTTAGAGAAATGAGAATTAGTCACTTGGGAAATAGGTAGGAAATGCCACACAAGGAATGTGTAAATAATACTCCTAGGTGAATACACCTGGCTGAAAGCCAGGGGAGTGTGAGGGAAATCCTAAATTCTGACCTTGTGCTTCCCACCAGGGCAGGGACAAAGGCTGGGACTGAGTCACATCTGCAGGGCACTTATGGTTAGTCACCACAGAGAGCAGGACCTTGAGACTCCTCACACATGAGGGAAGGCTCAGGAGGCTCCTGGACAGCACAGCACCAATTTTCTGGAAGTTCACACCAGTCTCTGCAGGAGGCTGCTGGGGCTGGGCCACACATTTCTGTACGAGGTGGGCAAGGGAATACAAAACAAAAAGGAGAATTTTCCCTACTGCTTCCTTCTCCATTTCCCCCCCCAGGCTGGAGCAGCTCTTTTAGAAGTGTCTGTTTGCTGCAGCAGCACACGGATGTTTACTTCCAGTCAGACATTAAATGTCCTTGGCTTTCCTGGAGCAGCCAGCACCCCCCAGCCCAGGCAGGCCAGGCTGCCTCTCCTTCCACAAGCATTCCCCTTCCCCAGCCAACAGAAATTCTCTATTTTCTCCTTCTCCTGCAGAGTTTGAAGCTGTGTGAGACACAGCCAGCAGGAGCCAGCTTCAGCATCTACATATTAATATTGTTCCAGGTTTCATTGGGCAAAGTGCCTCAAATACTTTGCTATGAGCTGGTCAGGGGTGGTTTATTCAGTTTATTCAGTGTGGTTTTGGTGTCTGCCCATAAAACACACTGTGCCAGCCCTGTGTGCTCCTGAAAGATGTTCTGGGGTGGGGGTTCCTGACAGCCCTGAGGGTCAGCACAACCCAGGCTGCTCTAAGGGCTGCTCCTCACAGCCCTGCAAGGGCAGATGTGAGGCAGCATCCCAGCATCTGGCAGCATCCCCACCATCCCCCACCATTCCCCATCATCCTCCAGCATCCCCAGAACCCCCAGCACCCCCCAGCATCCCCTACTATCCCCAGCATCTCCCAGCATCCCACAATATCCCCCATCATAGCCCAGTATCCCCAGCATCCCACAACATCCCACAGCATCCCCACAGCACCCCCAGCACCCCACAGCACCCTCTAGCATCTCCCACCATCCCCAGCATCCCCCAGCATTCCATACCATCCCACACTATCCCCCACCATCCCACACTATCCCCCAACACCCCCAGCATCCCACATCATCCCCCAGCATCCTGCACCATCCCCAGCATCCCACACCATCCCACACCATCCCCCAGCACCCCACATCATCTCCCACCATTCCACGGCATCACCAGCACCTCACATTGTCCCCAGAATCCCCAGTATCTTCAGTATCCCCAGCATCCCACAGCACCCCATAGCACCCCCCAGCATCCCCAGTACCCCCAGGATCCCACATCACCCCCCAGCATCTCCAGCACCCCCCAGCATCCCCAGCCCCCCAGCCTGCCCCCTGTGCCATGCCCGGTGACCCAGGGGACACAGCAGGTGACTCAGGACACCGAGTGTGTGACAGGCACAGCCCCTGGGGACAGCCCGAGCTCTGTGACAGCAGGGCAGGGCCTCAGGGCCGTGAGGGCAGTGGGGGTGTCCAGCTCCAGGAGGGAGTTGCAGAGCAGAGGGAGGATGAGCCTTTGCCAGGGCAGGCTCCGAGCAGCAGAGCTCACCCTGCAGCTGCTCCCTGGCTCTGCTCAGCTCCTGCTCCCCAGGAGATCCCCCAAAATCCCAGACAGACCTAAGGAGCAGCCTTGGTCGGGGTGCATGCCAAAAGGCAGGTGGAGCTGACCCACCTCAGTCTCTCCTGGTGCTGTGGGGAAGCTTTGCTCCTGTAAGGGCTCAGTCCTGGCTGCCTTGAGGAGAATCTGTCACCTTGCTCTGCTTGCTGTGCCCGGATTGAGGGCAGGAGAGGCTCTGCAGGGCTGGACAGGCACCAGGCATGGCTGGGTCACTCTGCTGCTGCTCTCCCAGCCATGCCAAGGGCTTGTCCAGCTCAGAACCTCACAGACCTGCCCCAGCCCCTGGAACCTGTCAGAGATGAAGGCAGCTCGAAACCAACAGCAGAAATGTCCTGCAGTGAACAAAGACTTGTCAGGGCTCACCTTTTAGCCAAAATGCTCCATCTGAATTCACTGATGTTTGTTGGGGAAAGTGAAACAGGAAAACCTTATAAATATGATTGTCTGGCAAAAGATTTTGAGAATAAGGAAACTATAAGTGAGATTGAAATGAAAGCAAGCTTTGAGATCCCTCAGTTACTGAACAACTGGAAAACAATGGTGTGGCCAGCTGAAGGTGATCCCCTTTTGATGGAACAACACCCTCTGCCTGCAGACAGGCCCAAGGGGCAGAGCAGACCCTGCCAGCTTGGCAGAAGGGCCCAAAGAGGAGTTTGTAGGGTTTAAAATGTAACACAGGATGGTAATGTAGTGATTCTTATAGGCTGTATGGAAATGCTGTAGGATTTGTATCTTGTACTAGATTGGTCAGTGAGAATCAGAATATTCAACAGAGAAGAAGATTTATGGTATTGTAACAGGAACTTTGCTCTCTCACCCTTTTACTCTCTCACCCTCTCATCCTCTCTCCCCTCTCTTCTCTCAGGCCTGCTCTGAGCTGTGCCTGGCAGCTCCCAGCAGGGCCCTGCCCCCAGGCCCTTTGCAATGAACCCCAAGTTCCAGCCCTGGCTCCAGAGATCGCTGGTCTCCATCCATCCCCACCATCCTACCCCCGACCCTCTGACAGATGTTACTGCAGCTGTTCCATGTTCTGGGCCAATTGCCACAGACCCTGTGAGCTGACTGTTGTCACTGTCCCTGCAGGTCACAGAGGAGAGGGGCTCTCACTTCCTGAAGCAACGAGCAGTGGCTGCTGGTGAGTTTGCCACCCTTTCCCCTGTGGTGTTGCAATCCCAGCACACCTCTGCCCTCACCACCCCAATCCCTGCCCAGACAAGCCAGCCAGGGCACACTGAGGGAGATAACAGTGGGCAGAGTGAAATGGGAACATTTCTAACCCCAGGCTGGAAAAGCTGTGCAGGCACAGGCGTCCCCCACAGCTCTACAGTGTTGGGATGTTTGTGAGGGTCCCCAGGACGAGGTGAGAGATGAGAATCTGACTCCAAATTCTCAGAAGGCTGATTTATATTATATTATATTATATTATATTATATTATATTATATTATATTATATTATATTATATTATATTATATTATATTATATTATACAAAAATGCTATATTAAAACTATACTAAAGAAAGAGAAAGGATACATCAGAAGGTTAGAAAAGAATTAATAATAAAAACCTGTGACTGACCAGAGTCCCAACACAGCTGGACTGGGATTGGTCATTAAGCAAAAACAATTCACATGCTGGGTAAACAATTCTCCAAATCACATTCCAGAGCAGCAAAACAGGGAGAAGCTGAAGCTTCCCATCTTCCCAGGAGAAGAAATCCTGGGGAAGGGATTTTTCAGAAAATATCACGGTAACACTGCAGGGTCAGTGGGACTCCCTGAACGAGCACCAGCAGGGATTTGGGAGCCTGTGCTCCCCACCCTTCCCCTCTGCTTGCCTCAGCAGTTCAGGACACAGCCACGATGTGCCCTGCTGGGGCTGCAGCAGCTCTGCCAAACTCCCCTCTTGGCATTTATCACCTCAGGGGGGTCAGTAAGAGCTCAGCAAATCAGCCCTGACTCAGAAAGAGCCTGCACATTTCCTCAGGGGAGTCAACTACCACTCATATTCTGTTGACTTAGGGAAGGTTCTTCCCCCAGAGGGTGCTGGCACTGCCCAGGCTCCCCAGGGAATGGGCACGGCCCCGAGGCTGCCAGAGCTCCAGGAGCCTTTGGGCAGCGCTGCCAGGGATGCCCAGGCTGGGGTTCTGAGTTGTCTGGGCAAGGACAGGGGTGGGATTGATGATCCTGTGGGTCCCTCCAGCTCAGGATATTCTGTAATTTTATTATTGAACAGCAGCAAACATCCTCACACCATTTTTTTCCCTTTTCCCTCAGTTACAGACACGCTTTCCAGTGCAGAGAAGCCACGAGCTCACCTGACAGGTAATTCTTGTTCACAACTAAAGCCTTTTTACAGCCAATGTTGTGCTTCAGTAAGCTTGGTCCCTGTGGATCTGGTGGGAGCAGGTGTTGCAGGAAGCATGGGGAGCAGAATAATCAGCTCTGCCTTGTTGAGCAGGCCAGGCTGAGGGCAGTGTGTCTGCAGTGAAGTGTGTCTGTCCCCCACAAAGGGCCAGCTGACAGAAATGTCACTTTTCTGAGCTGTTTCTTTCATTGAATGACCAGCTTTTGTAACTGAACTGAAACAGGTTCCTGATGTCTGTGATCTGCTGAATCCCCCAGAAAAGGCAGGGAAGGAGCTCCTGTGAGCCCTCGTGGAGCAGTGAATTTGCAAGAATTACAAGTTTTGGAGCAAACTCAGGTCAAATCAAGCTAGTTGCAGTTTATTTTTCTGCAAGGCCTGACTCAAACTCCACACACACCATATTCCCATTAATCCTCCCTCCTGTTTTCAGTGAGATAATCTCTGACACATTTCAGAGCAAGCAGGGAAAAGGTAATGCCAAACTGAGCCCTCCGAGCTTTTATGTTGTGGTAGGAAGGTGCCATCACAAACTCCTGTCCCAGGGTGGGCAGCCAGGCCTTTCCAAAGAGCTTCCAGGCCTTTCCAAAGAGTTATCATCCATTTCCAAAGAGTTATCATCCATTTCCAAAGAGTTATCATCCCTTTCCAAGAGGCTTCCATGCCTTCCCAAAGAATTATCATGCCTTTCTGAAGAGCTTCCATGCCTTTCCAAGAGGTTTCCGTGCCTTTCCAAAGTGTTGTCATGGCTTTCCAAGGGTCTTCCATGCCCTTCCAAGAGGTTTCCATGCCTTCCAAAGAGTCATCATGCCTTTCCAAAGGTCTTCCATGCCTTTCCAAAGGTCTTCCATGCCTTTCCAAGAGGCTTCCATGCCTTTCCAAGAGGTTTTTATGCCTTTCCAAGAAGCTTCAGTGCCTTTCCAAGAGGTTCCCATGCCTTTCCAAGAGGTTCCCATGCCTTTCCAAAGGGTTTCCATGCCTTTCCAAGAGGCTTCAGTGCCTTTCCAAGAGGCTTCCATGCCCTTCCAAGGGTCTTCCATGCCTTTCTAAGAAGTTTCCATGCCTTTCCAAAGGATTATCATGCCTTTCCAAGAGTCTTCCATGCCTTTCCAAAGGTCTTCCATGCCTTTCCAAGAGTTTTCCATGCCTTTCCAAAGGTCTTCCATGCCTTTCCAAGGGGCTGCCAGCATCTCCAAGGTCCCCACATCACCACCTCACCCTTGAATCTGTCACCACCCCAAGGACCTTGCCCTGGGACATCCCCCACCCTCGCCAGCTCCACCCACATGGAAAATTGAGTTATTCCCAGAGAAAAGTTCCTGCCTGGCTCCAGTGCGGATGGAGTGAGTGCCAAAGGGTTTTCCAGCTGGCCTGAGGCCTTTTATCCCTCTCCAAAGCACAGCTCACTGCAGAGGCTTCCCCAGCACCCCGGGGTGTGCTTTGTAACCTGAGAAATGCAGGAAGTGCTGGGATGCTTCTCTCTTGATTTCCTGCAGAAATCCAAATGCACCCCCAGGGCTCCATCACTCTGCAGCTCAGGGCTGATGCATTCCCAGCACAGTTTCCTTTCCTTGATCCTTCCTGATGCTCATCCTTGGTGCCTTTCCCTTTGCCACGGGGGTTTCTGGAGCTCCAAACCTGGCTTGGCTTGGCCATAATCACAGCTTAGCTCAAGTGCCAGTTTTAAGGAGCAAAACCTTGCTTCTCTAAGGTTTTGGTTTTTTAAATCCCCCCTGGCAGAGAGGCCCAGAGGCTCCAGTGAGTCAGAGGAGCAGCCAAAGCTCTGCTGGGCTGCTGGGAACTTCCCTGGGTTGCACAAAAGCCCAGCTGCCACAGGGAAACACCCAGCACTTTTCTCCACATTTCTCCAGCCCCCATATTTACAAAAATTTCCTTTGCCATCACTCCCAGGCTGCCTCCCAGGGTGTGTGTCCATCCTCTCTGGCATTCCACTGAGGGCCAGTCACTGCTGGCCATAGAAAGGAGCAAGAAAAGGGGAAACTTAAGGGAATTTTCTCTCTCCTTTCTGTGCTGTGCTATATAGTCATCAAGAAACCCAGTATCTATGGATTATTTCTGACCTTTTTTTAGCCTGAACATATTCCTGGTGCTTCTCCCTGTGGCAATGAATTTCCCAGCTTAACAGCACTTTGCAGGCAGAAAATATTTCCTGTTATTTTCAACTCTGTGCATAATAATTTCATGGGCTCCACCCTGGTGTTCTCTTCTCAGAAACAATGACTTGTGCACAGAAAGTGTAAAAGGAATAATTATTCCTGATCTTTGTTACATTCCCACACCTCAGGTGTTTTCAATGTGAAGGTGGCAGACTGCAAATCCTAAACTGTAGGAAATCTCTTCCACACCTTTATTCTGTCTTTTTCTAGTTTTAGGCACATCTGTTGTGAAGGTGAGAACAGAGGAGTGAGAGGAATGAGAATTGGATGGAGCTCTTTGGGAATGCTCTGATTAATTGGCAGTAGCAGAACAGCTCCATGTTTTGGTGTCTGTTCCTTTATGATAAATCTTCCAGCTGCTCTGGGCCTTTTTAACTCACACTGAGAATTTTTATTCACCCAGGCTGGAATCCAGATCTGCCCTGCCTGCTGGCTTTACCCACTGAGATGTGCCAAAACCCAGCTCAGAGCTCCCTCCAAGCCCATTTCCTGCTGTGCATTAATGTTCATTTGGGGCTTCTCCTTGCCTTGCCATCATCCCCTCCCCACTGACTCGGTTGGGTTTGGGCTCAGCATTCAGGGCAGTGCCTGCTCCTTCTTGTCACCAGCCTGTGGCACAGGGGATGGCCAATGCTGCAGCACCTCGTGCTCCTGGTGCTGCACTGGTCCCAAACCTGGCACCTGCCTCGTGCTCCTCCTCCTGTGCTCCCAAACCCACCTCTAAATGTGGGCAAAGCCTCATTTATGCCTCCAAATCACCTTCATTAAATCCTCAGGGCATGAACTGCAGCAGCACAGGACACAGGACCTTGCACCACAAGGGTTCCACAGGCTCCAGTTTCTTGCTCAGACTCAGAGTTGTGGATTAATCTCTCCCATTGGTGCTAAGAACTGCAGAAACCCCACAAATTCAGCACAAAATAGATCCTAAATCTGACAGGCAACAGGGATTCTCCAGCAAGGGACTGAACCAAAAGGGATTTGGGGACCAGGAGAATTAAGAGATACCAGAAATTTATAGTGTGTGAGAAAATAGAAGGAACTGTGGCAATGAATCTCTTATTAAAAGCAGATTTTAATCTCTTATTAAAATCAGATTCCTTCAAGAATTAGTATCATAGGTATATTTGCAGGAAGAGGAGCTCCAGAATTTAGGAAATAAATGAATAAATGACAAGTACAAAGTACAGCTGCTGCTAGAAAAGGAGCTGTGCTGTATTCAAAAGCACTTGAATGTTCATTTTATTCTCCTGTTACTGAAAGCATGGGAAAAACTAATTAACTTGAAAATAGAGACCATCAATAGAGAGAGATTCATCCTAAAAGGGAGGTTAAAGCTGTGAAACCTGACTAATTCTGGAAGTCAGGAAGTCATGTAGTTCATTTGAGATCTTATCATATTCTATAACTAATAAAATCTATTTTATAACTAATATAAAAATTCATTGTGGAATTGAGTGTCATTGACATTTTAAATGCATCATTCTATGAGGAAAGAATATTTCACAGGCAGCTTCTCTTCAAATTCCCCCGAAATTCCAGAGATGGAATAGAGCCCAGGACATTTTCTGGAAATATTCTGATCTTTCCTCACCCTTCCCACCTCAAACAAGATTCCCTCTGTTCTCTGAGATGAATTGATTGCTCTGAGCTCTTGCAAAGCTCAGAGTGATCCAAAGCTAGCTGAGCTTTTCCCAGGATTCAGAAAGTCCCTGAATTGAGGGATGGTGCATTGAGGTGGATGCAGATGAAGGCAGACCAGGAGCACTTTCTTTCATTCCCCTCTCTGTGTCAAAGCTCCATTGTCTCTGACCTTTAGAATATTTCTATAATTTTGCTTTCCTTGCTGCCACAATCCCAGTCTGTCTTCCTCTTCCCTGAAATATTTTTCCCATCCACTTTGCCTCCTGGGAAAAGATCAGAAGGATTTGATACTTCAGCAGCACCAAAAAAAAAAAAAAAAAAAAGAAAAAAAAAAAAAGGCCATTATTTTGTTGTGCTACTCAGAGAATATAAAAGGAATTGCACTCCTAACAGCTTCCTGTCTCCTCATAGATTATTTGTTGTTGGAAAAGAGGGAAACAGATGCCACTGGGACATGAGCACATTCCTTTTGCTCATTTCACCCAGGATGGACCTACTGGTTATTGCCAAGGGAATTCCAAAGCCTTCCCTCACCTGCATTCCATTTGTCCCCCTTCCCATGCACACACCCCCTTCCCCAAACACTGAATAAAAATCATCTTTAAACATGAACACAAGCTCATTAAAAAGGCCTCAGTTCCTGGAACTCTGTTCCCTCAATATTTTCTAAGCATTCATCATTCATTTTCCAGGTTCATTTCAATACCTGAGATAATCTTCATGGTTTTTGTCCTCTTCTTCCCACTGCTGCTGTTTTAGCACAACAATTCCATGTGGCAGGCAGTAGAGAGCAGAGACAACTCTTGATTCCCTGCAGAAAACCATGCAAGGGCTGAGGTTTATTGCCCTCTCTGTTGTGTGTGAGAAATCAAAGTTGGGAAGGCAAAAGGGCAGCAATTCCCTCATTTTTCCCCTGCAGGCTGGGAAGCATCCTCAGCTTGGATCCGACTGATGCTGGGGTCAGGACTGGAGCTCAGTCTGCTCACCAAAAGATTGGGAGCAAAAAAGCCTGGAGGAATGTTGAGGCTGACTCCAAATGCAGTATTTTGTTCCAGATAAGCATTAAAGAAAGAAAACAGGGGAAGAGAGGGATAAAAATGGTTTAAAATAGAATGCGTTGTTTTGGAATTGGAGCTCTTGAAGCACAGTGGGGTCTTTGGGGTTTTTTGCTAAAGTCCAGTGACCTTGGTAGAGCAAAAGCAATTCTACAAGAGATGTCCTTGAGAGCACAGAGGAGGAGAAGGGCTGAGGAGCCCCAGCCTCCTTAAGAAGAAGCAGGAAGAGAAGTCCAAGTGGTGACACATGGTGGTGACCAGTGTGGGCATTCTGCAAGCTCAGCAGCGTCTTTCTAAGAAACAGAATTGCAACCCACCCCTCCTGAAGGAAAAGATGGCTTAGAATGTCCTCTTCCTGTCCCTAACCCTTAGGTCAGGATTCAGGGCAGTGCCTGATCCTTCTTGTCACCAGCCTGTGGCACAGGGGATGGCCAATGGCATCCAATGGCCAGCCCTTAGGCACAAGCATGGTACAACTGTCCCAGTGCTGGTGTCACCTGAGGACAAGGGTTTCACTCTGGAAATGGGTGAGATGGGAAGGTAAAGCCATCCCCATCTTCCCAGTGCCAGGAGACTCAGCCTTGAGGATGGACAGCTCATCCTTTGGGGTCTGACCCACAACCAGGACCCCCAGGCACAGCTTACACTGTCAAGATCTTCCCAGAGCACCCTTGGCTTTCAGACCTGACAGCTCAGACCTGGGCACCCTGTGGGCACTCTGGAGAACACCCCTGGACAGTTGTCCTGTGTGGGAAATGGACTTGTAGATAGTTTTTAGGGTTTCCTTCTATCAAATCCTAAGGGTGTATTTCCTTCTATCAAACCCTAAGGGTTGTTTTTTGGGGGTTATTTCACTCCAACCTGCAGCTTCACCTTTCCCTACCCATTAAATTAAGGCTCTAGCGAGCTGCAGGGGAGTGATGGCACAGAAGAAGAAAAAGAAGAAGAAGAAGGAGAAGAAGAAGAAGAAGGAGAAGAAGAAGAAGAAGAAGAAGAAGAAGAAGAAGAAGGAGAAGGAGAAGAAGAAGACGAAGAAGAAGAAGAAGAAGAAGAGGGAGAAGAAGAAGAAGAAGGAGAAGGAGAAGAAGAAGACGAAGAAGAAGAAGAAGAGGGAGAAGAAGAAGAAGAAGGAGGAGAAGAAGAAGAAGGAGAAGAAGAAGGAGAAGGAGAAGAAGGAGAAGAAGAAGGAGGAGGTTCTATCGAACCCTAGGGGATCTTAATTCAATGGGTAGGGAAAGGTGAAGCTGCAGGTTGGAGTGAAATAATCCCAAAAAAACCCACAACAAAACCCTAAGGGTTTGATAGAAAGGTTTCTTTTAGGGTTTCTTTCTATCAAACCCTAAGAACTCTCTCCAAATCCATTCCCCACAGTCCTGCAGCCCGTTCAGCTCACTGTGAAATAAGAACATTTCTGCCCCAGCTTTTTTGCTCACCCTGTTTAAACCCCTCTCCCCTCAGAGCAGAGATTTCACGTCCCACCCACCCTGTGCCACCCTCACCCACTCCTCTCCCTCTCTCTCCCCGCTGCAGTGAAGAGGCAGGACCTGGCCAGCGCCGTGGGGAGCCACATGCCCATCCTGCAGTGGGAGGACAAGCGAGGCCTGGCCTTCACCAAGAACAACCTGAACTACTCCAGCAACGCCCTGGTGATCCCCGTGTCCGGAGATTACTACGTGTACGCCCAGGTCACCTTCCGCGGGCCCGTGGAGAGCAGCCACAAGGCCAGCTCTGTCACTGAGATCATCACCAAGGTCACTGACAGCTACCCCGAGCCCACCCAGCTGCTGATGGGCACCAAGACCCTCAGTGAGAACGGCAATGGTTGGTTCCAGCCCATCTACCTGGGCGCTGTGGTCTCCTTGGAGGTGGGAGACAAGCTGATGGTCAACGTGAGTGACATCAAGCTGGTGGATTACACCAAGGAGCACAAAACTTTCTTTGGGGCCTTTCTGCTGTAGGGCTCTGGCCTGCAGCAGATGGTGGGGGATCCCTCCAGGGTCATCGGGGGGGTTTTGTTGGGTTTTGGCTTTGTGGGTGCGTGTTGGGGTGAGATCTCTGCTGTTTGCCTTCTCCTTCTTCTTCTTCTTCTTCTTCTTCTTCTTCTTCTTCTGTGCCATCACTCCCCTGCAGCTCACTAGAGCCTTAATTTAATGGGTAGGGAAAGGTGAAGCTGCAGGTTGGAGTGAAATAACCCCCCAAAAAAACACAACAAAAACCAAACAAAAACGAACTTAAAAAAACAACCAAAACCAAAAAAAACCAAAAAACAACAAAAAAACCAAAACAACAACAAAAACCCCAAAACAAACAAACAAACAAAAAACAACAAAAACCAAAAACCACACTCAAAAAACCCCAAACCAAACAAACAAAGAAACGCCAATTTAGAAAAATGAAAGTCATATTGGAGGGGGGAAAATGTATTTTTGAAAGCAAAAGTTGAAAATTCTTCAAAACTTTGTAAGCTAAGGAGGAACGTTTGGTACATGTGGATAGGAAGTTTCTTCTTGAATATTGAGGCTATGCCCTAATTCCACCTTCAATGTACAATTTCCTCAACTCCAAAAAAAAAAAGTTCTTGAGCTTTCTCCAGCACTTCCAATATAGTTTTGCATGACCCTTCTTCAGATTCTCCTTTCTAAAAAGTAATTACTTCTCATAATTTCCTTATGAATACATTTACTCAGTACTTTGCACTAACATAAATCTCAGGTTAATTATTAACTGCTTAATTAATCCCTTCCAACTTCCCTGTAAAGTAGATTAAAATTATATCATGTGCTTTGCAGCAGCTACTTGAGATTTTTGGTTTTTCCAAAAAAAAAATTATTTACAGTTCTCTAAATCCATCTACAGCCTCAAAATATTCTGGAAAAGATCTAGGAAACACACAAAACACTTTCTGCTTCAGCATGAAAGTGGAATGTCCCCTCCAGGTCCTAACTTTAGGATAACAGGAAAAAAAAAAAAAAAGAAAAAAAAAAGCGAAAAAACAAGGTAGAGAGAGAAACACAGAGCAAAATTTTGCACACTTTTAAATCAGCCACCGAAATTTTGGGAGAAAACCCCTGCAATGTTTTGCTTTCCATTATATTTAATGCAAGGCAAATACAACTGAAGAAATCACTGCTTGGGGTCCAGCCACAGCTGATGGTGGCCCCAAGGGACTCCCCAGCCTTGCCCTGGGTGAGGTTTGGCCACCAGTTGTACCCACATGAGGTGAAAAGATCCAAAGACACCACCCTGGTGGAGCTCAGGGCTGTTTAACTTCCCCCCTTGCCCTTACCCACAGAGCTTTCTGCCTCTCAGGGAAATTCCCTTTTCCCCTCCCCTCCTGCAGCAAACGCATCTCCAGCAGTGCCTCAGGACCCCCATGGGTCTGGACCCTGAGGTCTCACAGCCAAGCACCCACCAGGCTCCCCCTCTGCAGCTCTCCCCTGCCTCACCTCCTTGGATTTCCTCCATTCCTCCACTTCTTGCCCAGAAATGACAGCAAAGCTTTGTCCCTGAGCTGATGCTTCCACCCAAAGCCTGGTGGAGCCCCAAGTGCCCCCATCAGGGGTGGGGAACGGCAGGGGTGGGGATGAGGGGCTGTGTCTGCAGAGATGAACTGGGCACAGGCTTTGTGCTGGGGACAAGCCCATGTGAGACCCTGCAGCTTTGTCCATGGCAAAGCCCTTCCCACCAGGAGACCTTTTGTTGCTCTGGGAAGATCTGCTTGAGCTGAAAAGAAAACAGTGGAGCAGCTGGAGCAGGGAGAGAGGCCAAGGAGATTGGGAAGGGAGGAGAGGAGCAGGAGGAAGGAAAGTCCAGGCAAGACCAGGATCTCTTCATGTCTTGGTGTGAGGACCTTCCAGCTGACATGAAAACTTTTGTGGTAAATCATCTCAAAGTGGAGGATTTTTGCCCATTCTTCCCCATCTGCAATTCCTGGATCCCACAGTTTCTGTCCTTCCCTGTTTTAGCCACATCACAACAGCCGGGACTTTGCCACCCTGCCCTGCCCTCCTTTCCTGCTTCCAGATTTTCCTTGAGTCTCATCACTGAGGGTTGGCCCCTGGCACAACTCTGCCTATTTGGGGAGCTTGACAAATTCCCTGCACCAAAACCTCATCCCAGTTTGGCTTCCCATCCTTTCTTTGACTCATCCTTCACCCTCCCCACATCTCAGCTGTCCTCTTGCTCCCTCCTGCCTTCCTGGCCCTGTCCATTAGGTGCAAGGACACTTCTTTGTCCAAATGCCATTTTTTACACTCAATTTCTCCAGCCCACAAAGAAAAGTGACATCTCAAAATAGGTTTGGATTGGAGAAAGTAAATTTAACTATCCTGCAGGCAGATGGAAACACTCAGAGTCAAGGGATCCTCTCATGTCTTTATGATCCAGATCACTTCCATCTTTGAGCCCTTATTCCTATTTTATCTCCACCTGCCCAGCCTAGGTTTTTTTAGCTATGTTTGGAGCAGTTATTCCCCAATTATCCCATTAACACAACCTTGTTCTGGTGATCCAGCTCCTTCTCAGGGCTCTTCTTCCTGCTCAGATCCCTCCCACCAGGGTAAAATCTGGTGAAATCCCCCACTCTTGGCAATTCTAGACAAAATTATTCCCAGTGAAACCCTGAGACTTTCCATAGCTCAAATTTTGTGAAGTGTTCCCCGAACACCTCATGTTGAGTCTTTGATCCCTTGGTTGTGTGCCCAAAGCAGGGTCTGAACTCATGAAAACACAAAATCTGCAGCTTTTGGAACATGTAGAGCACTTTAGGTGACCAGCACACGAAACAACATGGTCAGTCTCATCAAGGAAGATTTGAAATCATTTTTTCAAGACTGGTAATTCCCAGCAATTAGGCAGGAGAGCTCCTGCAAAGGACAAAATAATGTGAATTTGGTTTATCCTTGGAGGAAATTGGAAGGGAAATTCTCTCTCTCTCTCTTCTGGGATAATTACAGCAATTCAGAAAGCTTCTCTTTTCTACAAATGAGCTGATCATTCTGAGGGCACAAGGCAATCCTGACAGGCTGGGACAGCAGATTTCCAGAGAAGCTGTATCCCAAGGCATCATCACTCAATCCTGGTGTGCTGAACGATGGGAATTGTGAGGGCTGGGGCAGAGCAGTGGGGAATGCAACACCTGGCATGCAAAGAACCAGAATGTGGGATATACACACACCCTTTTCTTTTTTTTTTTTTTTTTTTTTTTTGGTGGATATTCCATAGAAGTCCCCAGAAGTTCCTTTGGCAATAATGAGCCTTTTCTAGCACAGAATTTTGTCCACTGTTGCCTGCTGCAGCTCCATTCCAGGTGTGATTCTCCATAATCCATAGAAATATTTATTTTAGTCCAGTTAGAGCTTTTGCACCCCATTACCCACACCAGCTAGGAGCACATTTAGCACACATTTTATAGGACATAAAACAATATATGTGGCATTACTTGTTTTAAAGTGGTGCAGGCATATTGATCCCCACATGCATCCTCATGGAAATTCCCTATATTCCCTTTTTCCCCCCTTTTCAGTGCTAATAATGTTACTGTAACAGTGACCAGCACATAAAATAAGTGTTCAGGGGTTGATTTTGGCCCTGTTTTGTATTAGATAGTCCTCCACAGAAGTCAAAGGCATGAAGTCAGAATAAAGCACTTCAGTGAGACCAAAGTCAAGCTTAGAGGAAAATATCTCCAACAGACTGAACCTAAACTGTGGATTCTTAGATTTTTAACTTTTTTTTTAAGTTAAAAAAGGACACAATTATTCTCAGAAACTTGTGTTTGTTGAGCTAGAAAATATAAAGTGTTTCTGGAGATTTGAAAATGCCCAGGCATCAGCATTTTCAATTAAATGAGAAGCTGGTGAGATCTGGTCATGGGAAGTAGTGACCTTAAAGTCTGTGGTCAAGCTGAACATGTGCTTTGTTTTGGGAGGGGCTGTGAAACTAAAACTATTATCAGGAAAAAAAAAAAATGGAATCTGGAGAAAAAAATGTGAAATAGGCAGCTTTGGCTAAATGAGGTTAAACATATGGTTTAGTTTTGACCCTTCCATTTCTTAGGAAAAAGAACCCAAAAGCACTTTTCAGAACAAAACCACTGAAAGAAGAAGTATCAAATTATTATTTAACAACTGCTCAAAATATTCTAGATCTTAGAGTTGGCTTCTTCCCTAATCCTTTTCATCCCCCAAAAAACTAACACTAAGCACAACCCAAATTCATCAGAGTTCCTACCACTTCCTTTCCCCTTAAAAACTGAATATTGATAAATAAGCATTAACTTTCTCTCCATGCACACACAGAAATAAATTTATTAAATTTTAATCAAGGTATAAAGAAAGCAGCTCCAGTCTTGCCAACATTTATTTGTGCTGAGCACAGCCCTGAGCACGTGGCTGAAGGGGATCATGGTAAAAACCAGCTCCTGTTCGGTGGAGGCGAGGAGTAAAAGCTGCATGCCTCAAATTAAAAAGTCAGAGAAAGTTTTGATTGTGTTTATCCTCAGCTCCATCATGGTTTGGAGCAATCTTCCAAATCAAGGAGTGACTGCAGGGACTGTCCAGCACAGGGGTGTTGGCAGGATCAGAGTCCAAAGGATGGACCCAAAAAGGTGCTGCTGAGATGATTTTTGGCAGGGAATGTGATGAGCAAACCTCTCTACAAAGGGGGTCCCCAACCAAGCCCAACAGATTTTGGAATTCGCTCGAAAATTTCAACACAATATTCCAGAATTTTGAAGGAATCTTGGTTTTTCACCCCCCTATGGCACAACTGACCACCCTGTCCTTTGCTTTATTTGTCTTGTGAGTGGCCCATCATTTCAGATGAGAAATGAGGAGAGAATTCATTCTTTAGAAGAATCAGAAAATGTCAAGGATCTTTGCCCCGATGTGGGTGTTACACACCAGTAATAGCATTTTGCTATTGTAAGGGATTTTCTAAAAGGGATTGTCTTTTGTCT